GACCCTGCGCTCTGACCCCAGGCTTATCTCTCCCTGTCTGTGTGTCTCATGGAGCGCAAGCTGGGGTATGCAAAAAGACAAAATTTCTAATGCAAGAAATTGTATAGGGCTAATAAAGTGATCTTATCTTACAGAAATGGGAGAGAAAACAAAAGGCCTGTATTTTTCTGTTTGAACATGGTACATCTGTGTGCAGTGAGAAGAATTAATAATAATCCAAAAATGATTTGAATTTCTTGTAAATACAATTCATTCTGCATCTGTACTATGAACTTCTGCTGAATATGTTGCAAGTTATTTCTTGATCAATAGTTAAATAACTTCTGAGACAACAGGATTTAGAAGGCCCAGGTGTCCCTAAAATGCATTTGAAACTCAATTTCTATTCAAATCAGTTGAACTGAAATGACCAGTTTTGATCTCCAGGTCTTCCCTATATCCAATAAAAGAAAATTACAAAACTATTTAGAGCCAGTAACTTCAGGATATGAGTAGGAGGATAACTGTTGCATTTGATCCAAAAAGAACAGTGACTCCTAAGCCATGTACAAATGGAAAAAAGAGAATACTGCCTACATAATAGGCTTTGGGAATTTAGCTGTTGATATTTAACAGATTTTGGAGACTACTGCACTTACAGTATCAATGAAACCCATTTATTTGGTTTACACACTCAAGATGATCTTTGTCTTTCCTTGCCTTCTGAAAGTTTTACATAGGTTAAAACCCCATTCTTCATTGAAATATACAGATGCAGCTACTCAGAATATTTATTTTCAATAAAACTGGGATAATTAAGGCTCTTTCTCTGATAATAAAATGCAACAAGTAACATATACTTTATTAGTTCAGGTGGGTAGCTCCGTCAGCATGCGTATGCTGCAAAGGAACAAGTAACAGGTTTATTCCATGCTGAAAAAAAAGAAGAAAGAAAACACAATGTTTTGGCCATGGAGCCTTCTTCAGGTGTGAGAAAGACAGAGCAGTAAGCAAAGGTAATGTAGCGGGAGAACAAAGGTTGGGAGGGAGGAGGAGTTAGAGGCGGGAGCAGGGGACAGAAAGAGAGGCCAATCAAGAGGTGTGAAATCAGAATAGGTGTAGAGAGGTGTGAAATGAAACCTCCAATGAAGTTTATGGAGAAAATTTAAAAGAAGAGTAGTCAGTCATTAAGAGAAGGGGGAATGTGTGATCCTAGCTGCAGGATAAGTTTGGTTTCGGTAGTCTTTCTGATGTATGAGTTCGGAAAACCATCTTTGAGAACACAGACAGAGAGACTAGAGTGGTCGTGGTCGTCAGAGGTGAAATGAGAAACAATAGGCTTGGAGAGATTTTTAATCTTCACAGCCCTGACATGTTCTCTGAAGCGGTCTATCGTGGTTTAAGATTTGCAAACACATTTTATTTTACTATTGATGCATATTCACAGAAAATACATAGCTCGAAAGAGCGGCTGAAACATTCTTTAAAACATTTTTTAATCCTATTTAAAAATGATACAGTAAGCAACTGATTACTTTTTCCATTTTTGAAAATACCGTCACTGCTACAAAGTATTATGGCATGCTAGTTATAGCCTTTTTTTAAAAAATGCAATTGTTTGATAAAGTTCGCTTTATAAGGCTGAAATGGCAACTCTCGTGGTTACAGTATGATATTGGAAACTGATTCAATTTTACTGTTCACACAAAAACTACCCCTTTTTCACTTCTCAAAGGGGGAAAGGTAGACAGGCCAATTCAAGAGAGATGTAAACACATTTTTGGTTTGGTTTCTTAATTTCAATAATCTTAAATATTTGTTATTTATCTTTTTTTTCCCACTTCATGGCATTAAACAACTGAAGATTGTTGATCTGATTTTTCTGGTAAAATTGGTTTATTCCTGCCATTGTCAGTATTCATATATCTGCTCATTTCACATATTCTTGATATTATTTTCATATTTATATATACATGTATATGTATACATATTCTAATATATAAATTTATAAAGATGTCAAAATACTATTTACATATTATTTAACATATTTTAGCAGAAGCGAAAGAGAACCATTATTTGTCAAAAGTACAACTGGTGTGTTGGCTTGTAATGAAAATTCTACCACTGAACTACTGTTTTATTTTCCATGACAATACTAATGACAGCAAAATGTAGTTAAACACAAGTACATAAAAATTTTTCCAAAATAACCACAACAAGGGACTGAGTTAAATAACCTGATGCAGTTTATAAAGAAAGTGTTATACACTATCACCATCAAATATATAAAATATATCTATATTCATAAATTAATATTTGTAATGATGTTGAGAAACTTTTTTATTTTCAGCTATCAAAATTTCTCTTTAGTTACATAATTCCATATTAAGTGGATTTAAAGAAGTAGGACAACAGACAAAATAAGCTTTCATCAACATCTACTGCACTACAAGGGCCGCCTTTTGATCTCCTTTGCTCAGTGAAGATTCTTTGGGCAGTTTACCACGACTTTCCGAAGTTATCTTGACATGCAATCTGAGTGGCTGCATAGGTAAAATTTTATTTTTGTGAGCTATAGGGATCATAGGAGTAAGGCAGAGCTGGTTAATAACTGATCATTCCAAGTTAGAGGGCATATAAAAACAAAAAAATTCCAAATTTTTAAATTAACGGATTAAAAATATTGTGCTTTCTCAATGTTTTCCGGCACAAAATGTGGTACAGATGACGTTACTGATAAATCCAGTTTTGCTGGTTTTACATTTATATTTTGACTCTTTAAAGGAGTTAAAGGACTTACATTCAAGTTGTCAAAGTAGCAATCGTAAAGGTCTTCAATGTCCATGTCTAAGAAATGAACTTGGATGAAAAAGCCAGCATCAACTGTGATTGTCCACCGGTAATGTGCATCGACAGGGTAATTCCTGGGCCAGAGGGGAGATGCAATCTGTCCTGAAACTCCTGAGATCTCATTCCCGTACACTAGAAAGTAAAATACCAGACATGAAGAGCAGCTCCAAGGTGCATACTCCTTTAAGAAACGTCAGTTCTACAGCCAACTGTAGTATTGATTTATGACTTCAAACTATTTAGGACACTGCATCTTACACTTATTCAGAAGAAAATATTTATTGTTACTTATTAGTATGAATGAGTGAAAGGGTATGTGATATTTTCATATACATCTGTGGATAAAAGGTACAGAGAGGCACTGCTTATTTCTGCAACTGCGTAATTTCAGTCCTAGGAGGTTAGTTATCATAACCTGAGGGAAGTAATGTGTGACAATGCAGCTGGACAACTTGCAGGTAATTCTGAAATCGATTATTTCTCATTAGCATTAGAGGTTTCCTCAGTTGTTCACTTACAGTGTGCAAATGTAGCCCTGAAGCCAGCCCCAGGAACTGAGGAGTCAGAGACAAATTTCAACCAGAGAATATGTCCAATGACAGAAGTGTAGTTAGCAGGAAGGAGACCCCCACAGAATCGCCCCACCAGCTGGCCAGTGGAATTTCCCTCTCTGATCTCCAGGTAGTCACTGCTACACCCGGAGCTCTGCTGGATGTCAAATGATCTGATGGCAAGAGGAAGAGAAACAAACTTGTTAACTTATTAATTATGTAGTAGTAGGTTTGGTGACTTTGCAGACCCTTTTCCTAGTACATTCCTTATTTACATCCTAACATTGCCCAAATTTTCTATTTGTTCTGTTTTTGCCAAACAGAGAACACGACAAGTTCACTCAAGATAAAATATGTTTCATATAATCTGTGTAGCCAACAACCACAACAGTGTAAAAAGCATATGAGAGGAAAAAGCAGTGAAGAAGACTAATTTTTAGGTAAAGGAAAAATGGTCACCAAAAATACTTCAGTCAACTTTGATGGAATTTCATGTTTTATGGGATGATTCACTCAGAAGTGCAGTACCAAAGTTTTTCTACACAAAGGCATATTATAACTGAGAGGCTAACATAAATTGATCTTAATTGCCTCAAAAAGGGATAATTCTAAAAGAACTGAATATAAATGTACCAAAACCTGAAAGATGTTGACAAATTCAACCCATCAGCAATGGAACCAGAACCAACAACAAATGGCAAATAGCAGTATCTCTGCAGTGCACTAAGAGTAGTGGGTGCCTGGTACAAGGTATTGGAGTAAGATATTTAAATCAATAAGTTACTAACAAACAAGTCCTTTTCTTCTATGTTTGCAATCTTTCTTAAATTTAAGTTATTTCTTAAATTTAAAGTTATTAGTTGGTCTATATGATTTTTAAAATGTTCCAATGACAAGATCAAACAGGAAAGATTATTGCTTCTACAGCAATGGATTGATCACGTGTCAGAATTATATTGCAGTTTTTATGTGATGCCAGAAGACAAATGGTCTTTCTTATATCTGAATACACCTCTTGGTCAAAGCATCTCAAAGCACTTGTGAAAAGGTTAAATCAGAAAAGAGTGAAGTCAGTTTAGACCGAAAACATTCTCCATAAGCAAAGATGAAGGAAAATAGCATAATACTTAAATCATGGAATCCCGAAATTATGTTAATATCCTATAGATTAACTTATAAAATATAAATAGACTTCAGCTGAAAAATATATATGCACAAACGAGTGTGACTGAACATCAAGACAGCAGAATAGTATAAACAGTGACTGTTAAATCAAATTAAATAAGGCAAATTACTTGACTATATATGGAATATTTAGTGAGTTAAAGTGTTTTAATATGAAGCTGGGGGGAAAGATTTACATAATCGATACAGAAGATCAGAAAGTTGCTCATGATCAGAAAGATGCTCATTGCCAGCAATCATATCACCCTGTAACTGACAACTGGCAGCCCATTGAAGATAAGCAGTTGTGAGCCTGGTCAGTACCTGGATGGTAGACCTCCTGGGAAAAAAGGTTGCAGCTGTAAGAGGTGTTAGTGGGGCCAGCATGGGGTGCTCACCCTGAGGTCTGTGTGGGTCCTAATGCCCCAGTATTATTATTAGTATTATTATAAAAAGGTGCCGTCCTTCGGATGAGACATAAAAACGAGTTCCTGACTCTCTGTGTTAATTAAAAATCCCAGGGTGTTTCTCGATAAGAGTGGGGGTGTAAGTGTTATTATCCTAGTGAGGGTCACAACCTGTTGCTATCCCAGAAGTGAAGAGCACAAGATAATTCTGAGAAAACACAAATTCTGTCCTCATGGAGGAAAGGCCACTCCATCACAGGGCCATGTAGGAAGGGAATATTAAATCAAAGTCAGTATCAGCCTATCAATCTTCTCAGCATGGCTAGGATGTAGGAGGACACCAAAAAACCTGGAAAATATGGGCATGACATACAAACTCCATGCAGGAAGAGGCCAGACTCATACCAAGGACACTGTTATAATTATTTTGTCACTATGCTGCTTGTCTTACTTCCTGTACAGTACACTGGAATTTATTGATGCTTATCATAAAGTGTTAGCACAAGGCGAAAAATAAAATAATAACAAAGCATGAAGAAATGTAAAAGTGTTCAGACAACTGAAACATTTAGAATCGTGTAATGACATAGAGTAAGGACAGTGCCTGAGCTGTAGGGTGGTCACCTAGTTTTCAGGCTATCCCTAGATGCTAAACTTCAATAACTCCCTACATTTTGGGCAGAATGGCTCATTAAAACCATTTGTTGTAACCAGTAATGGTTATTCCCAAAGTTTATGCATCCAGAATTACATGAAAGAGAGTTGCAGACGGTTTCCAGGAGAACTAGTGATGCTCCAGACACATTCCACATTGGGTGGATAGGCTTCAGGATAGTTGGGGCTGTTGAAGGCTCCTGTTTCCATGTGTAGATGCCCCCCACAAGCTAAAATCAAAAGGAAACTGCAGTAAGAAGAAGTTCAGGGCACAGGAATTCTGAAAAAAGATTGATCTAGACTAGTTGGACAAAACAATTGTGCATAACATATTCTGGAGTAATTACAATCAAATTAATGAATACATTTTTTCTTGATATTTTTTGTTTATGCAATCCCCACATCTTCTAATACTCCACTTTCAAGTAAAAAAGTGGAAATATAAGTCCTCGATATGCAGACAAAAACTATGAAATATAAGAAGTAGAGAGAGGTGATCTTCCTTTAAAGTATCCACAGGTATTTTCCAAAGAAGCAGTAACAGGACAGCAGACAATTCAAGACAAAGACTATTAATACCAAACTCTGGGCATTTACCAGAGGTGGAAGATGCATACACAGCTCTGAAGCCCTTCTCAGAATCTTGTCCATCTGTGACAAAGTTCACAACTAGGGCATTGCTGAAAGATGTCACAGGGTGAGGGAGATCTGCTCCACAGTAGCGTCCTAGGAACAAAGATATTCACAGAGAAGCAGTTTTAAATGATAAAAGTTGGAGTATGCCTGTCTTATTCCATTATGATGTCTCTTTTAATTTCATTTTTAATGTGTACTAGTGGTATCTCTGGAAATTTCCAGGAACATGTTTACAGCTTTTTCTAATGTTAATAAATGAATACAGGGATACAGATAAACAAAGCCTGTCAATTAATACCAAATATGTCCACACCCCTTCCTTAACTTAAAACTAGCTGTCCCATCACATCATCATCCAAGTGGATGCTGCACATTGGTGGTGGAGGGGAGTTCCCATTACCTGTAAAGCGCTTTGAGTGGAGTGTCCAGAAAAGCGCTATATAAGTGTAAGCAATTATTATTATTATTTTATCAAGTGTTAGCTAATCTGATAATATAATCAACCTTAAACTGACCAGGCAACATAATCTTCCCTTAAGACCAGTACACTCTACCACCTGCTATTGTCAGTGAATGATGTATCACTACAGTAAAATCTTGAGATCTGCAAATTTAACATTGGCAAATGTGTTTATTTGCAACTTGGTATGGCTGACAGGGTTTAAACAGAAGAAGAGCAGAGTGGGAAGAAGCATAGGTGAAGGTTTTTAACTACAGTTTTCAAGTTAGTTAGTAGGCAACAGACTAGGATTGTGAGATCTAGCTAGTGAATTAGCATCTCCATGCCATCTACCCAAGTACCCACTACTCAGCATCTTATTTTAATATTGGTATGAACTGTACTTGTTCCAAGTTGGCAGGATGGGGAATGACAGCTTTTTTAAAGAAGATGACTTCACAGGCTCTTTGACAGTTGAATTTCATGTTTCATTTCAATGTGCTATGATAAACAGAAGTAGAGAGAGAAAGTGCAATATAGACGAAGAGGGGGGTCATGTTTATTTAGCCGATTATGATAATCTGCAGTTACGTTTGTTTATTTGATTTGATTAATGTTAAACTAAAAGCCAATCCATTAGTACTGATATAACTGTATGTCTTTTAATCATACATTCTATATACTGTAGTAAAGTACATGAGGGTATAGGGAAGGGCTTGGTTAAATCAACACTGTATAATACAGTACATATTAATGTGAACATGCATGATACAGTACAAACTAGGGTCAGAAAGTGTGAAATATTAAATAAACATTTCTTACAAGTACACTGAGCTCCACGTCTCTCACCAACACTTACCCATTGAAGGGGCTGCATAGTTATCCCCATCCAGAACCTCAACCACATCAGTGGAGCAGTTGTTATTTTTATTTTCCAGATTAAAGTCAGTAAAAGACAGGGTGACATGGTTGACTGTGTGAATATATAAACAAATCTCCGTGTTAACTGTTAACATTTCACAATTACCATTGTTAAAGTGCTGCACATAACTACCAGAATGTAAACTTCTACATTTTAAAGAACAAAGGGTTTCCTTAGAGTGTAACAGCTAACAATAATTTATCACTAATTTCTCTATATTTTAGAAACTAGATTCGATTAAACTGCCCTTCATGAGAAGACAGGGAACAGAATGTAAGTATTCCGGACCTGATTTAACTCTTATACTGTATGTCCTAGATCACACACACTCATTAAAATTATACGTGAGCACCAGAGGCCTTTCTAACTGTTAAGTCTCAGGAACGGTTTTCATGTACTTACATGGCTCTTGCGCTTTAATGATCCAGCTACAGTTCTGATTAGCCGGGTAACTTGCAGGGTACCGTGGTGAGGCAATGGCTCCTCCAAGGTCATCGCTCTGGATGATAGCTCCACAAGCTGAAATACAGACCACAGTCTCAAAGAATCCCAGCCAGCACTTTGCCTAGTGAGGTGATCAGGAGCAACGAGGCAAAGTGCATCAAAGTAAATGAGGTGAGACTCTGGAAGACATTGAAAGTGGTTATTTCACTCTGAAAAGAAAAAATAGATAAACAATGTTTTAGGTGTTTAGTCTACTTCAAGTGTCTAACCTCTCTTTTTTCTATTCACACACAGCAGCACCTCCAATGAAAGACATTTATAGTTTCTGTCAGTTTTTTCACGTCACATCCTTCCAATACAAGTTCGCATAGGACTGTGTCACTTTGGTTGAACAGAAACTGGGTTTCTTTTTACAGTCCTGCCTTAATGCGTCTCTGGGGAGACTGTAACTTTAAGGTTCTAACAATTTTCCCACAGCATGCATGTTCCAGGACTAAACACCCAGTTTCCAACTAACAAGTTATATATTGAGACCCTGATTTAGCTTCATTCTGAATTTGATTTATTTTGATAGTATCCCTGAATAAGCCTGTATAACAATAACAATAACAATAACAATAACAACAACAACAACAATAATAATAATAATAATAATAATAATAATAATAATAATAATACTTTCAGAAAACTGGGCCCTGAAGCCTCTGTGGTTGTAGCTGCTGTCTGAACGGAAGCGCAGAAAGATGGTGTTCTGTGTAGAGGTCAAAGGGGAGGGTCTCTGTTGACCACACAGATGCCCAAGTATTGGTGCTGATGCACTAGGGCCATCATAGATCTAGAAAAAAAAGGAAAACACATATTAGGACTTTAAACATTTTGACAACATCATTCCCACAACCATTTTGACATTTTTCTAGGACATCATGTGTGTTTAAATGTATTCTGATAGTCACAAACACTGGTAGTAGCAAGCTGGTAACAAGGCTATGAAATCATCAAATAAAAAACTGTGACAATGTGCAAGTTAATTCTTTCTTAGTTCTTCATTTCTTAACTATGGATGCTTATTAGCACCATGGAGAAAAAAAGTATTGCATTTATACGAGATAGGATAGTGTTTTAATTAGAAAATGATTGTGTTTAAACAAGAACATTACTGCAATTGAAAACAATAGTTAATTTGAGAACACTGCTGCAGACTATATTAATATTGTAAGCCAACAGTAGGTATATAATAAGCTTCAAAGGAACAAGTAATAGGTTTATTTCATGCTGAAAAAAAAGAAGAAAGAAAACACAACATTTTGGCTGTGGAGCCTTCTTCAGGTGTGTCACGGCCGAAACGTTGTGTTTTCTTTCTTCTTTTTTTCAGCATGGAATAAACCTATTACTTGTTCCTTTGCAGCCTACACATGCTGATGCAGCTACCCACCTGAACTATATAGTAAGCTTGACTATCAAGTCAGCATAAATCTGTTCAGCTCAATGTTTAAAGAGTAGGCAAAAACCTATGTACAGTACATGTTTCTGTAGTTCCACATCAAGAATAAGATACCTTTGGAAAGCACAGAAACGGTGACAATGACACACATTTAACCTAGGAATGCTCACTGACATTGTGATGTACTTCATGTATACAAAAGACAGTACATGTGCTCCTTTATTACTTTTACTTATTATTATTTATTTTCCCAAAAAGGAGTGTGATGATATTATTCTGTTGTTAAATTCAATGCTTCTTTGCATAGGACAATATTATTACATATATAGTATAATGTAATATATTACAATAGTAAGCAACGCTGTTCACAAATTAACTATTGCATTTAAAAACAATAATTTCCTCATATAATTGCAATAATTTTCTTGTTTAACAATAATTTTCTTGTTTAAATGCAAAATACTGTCTCGTATAAACACAGTAATTTTTTCATTTAAACACAATCTTTTTTTTCTCTGTGGTGCTAATAAGCTTCTGTAATTCAAATCAGAAAACATGGCAAAATCCTAAAGCAATTCACCTGAGAATCAACAAAGATGAGAGTAGCAGAGGTCACACACCACCAGCGTTAAATCATTAGTATTAAGCGATGGGGTGATTTTAGTATGGTAGTGATGAATGTACTGGTATAATTCAGGTAATATAGTGCATTTAGTCTGAAGCTTTTTTCATTATTTTTGTGTGTTGGTACATGAGAGATTAAGTAAGCTTATATATAGTTTACCCTAGAAATATTTCCTTAGTTTGGATGCTGAACAAATGATATATTCCCTTAATTTCACTCCCTCATTCCTTGTTACAGTGGGAACTCTATTGCTATAGAAATGGTGCAATGTAGAAATGTTATGTATATAGAAAAGTCAGCTCATAAATTAGTCAGTGCATTAATTATACAATCATTAAAGCCATTAGGGTTGACCATATGTTTGTCTTTCAAAACTCTAGTATGGTGTGGTCTGGGAGCTGCCCTTTCACAGTCAGAAATGCAATGAACAACATTCCTGGCTGAGTCACAAAAACAAGAGGAAAAGTGGAAGTTCTAAAACAAAAAAAAAATGACATGAAAGCAGAAAACGACTGGGTTGTAGCACAAGAATTTAACAAGCAAATAAAAAAAATCTTTCTTATCTTAATGAATCATAGTCTGTATACAATGTGTTGATTGTTTCATGTTTTCCAATGCAAACAAAGTATACAGTGCCTTTCAAAAGTATTCAGATCCTTCCTATGGTGTCACAACAAGTGAAATTACAAAATGATGCATACACACTTTTTAAAACATAATACTTCATTTAAAACCTGAATGATCAAACTGAAGGCTTTCAAGGGTAAGAAACACTACAATAATTATCAACAAAATCTAAAGAGAAAAAATGAAATGCTGACTGCATAAATATTCAGTCCCATTAACTCAATATTTGGTGGAAGCACTTTCAGTAGTACTTATGCAGCAACAATCTTCAACCTATCAACTTAGCACACTGGCTTGGTAATTTATGCCTATTCTTCTTGACAGATTTGCTCTTATGTTGCATGGGGATAGAGGATTTCAGATTTTTCCACAGGTTCTCAATAGGATTCAATTCAGCACTTTGGGCCATTTCAGGACATTCACTTTCTCATTCTTAAGCCTGTCCAAGATAGCTTTGGCTTTTTGCTTTGGGTCATTGTTCAGCTGAAAGGTAAATTTGCACCCCACTTTTACATCTTAGAACTGGGATATTTGGTGTATTACAGTAAGTCTGCATTAAACATAAGGCTTGTCATTTAAGCCAAAATGTTCCAATTTGGTCTCATTTGGACACAACATCACCACATTTTTGTAGGTTCACTTGAGTGGCTGCTTGAAAACTCCACAGGGGTTTGTATTTTACAATACACAATGATTGTCTAGATTTTGTTCATAGGGATATTCAGAGACTGTTTTATTTTTTGTATCCTTCTCCACATCTGTGCCTTCCAATTAATGTATTCCTAACTTTCTTTGAAAGCTCCTTGTCTTCACAGATGAGTGTATGTTTGACTATCTGACCTAGGAACCTCACAGAGTTTTTATTCATAAGAATAACTAGTATTGCACGCAGACAGAGGCCACTCAACTAGTTATGTGGATCATTAATGTACAGTACTTTATGCATCTAAATTAATCTACAGCAAAAGGTCTGAATACTTATGCCATCTATTCATGTTTTATTTCATTTTAATGTTCTGTTTTCTTTTCTTTGATTCTTGCTTTGAATGTGTATTGACATTTGTGCATATAACAAATGTTCATTTCTACTTCATTGATACCCAAGGTGACATGACTGCAAGCATTACAGCAACAAAATGTGAAAACTGTTCAAGGGTCTGGATACTTTCACAAGGCAGTGTACATTGAACACCTTGTGTTGTGAAGCTGTTTAACTGTTTCTGTCGAAAGGCATATACAGCATTTATTAATAAGATGTCAAGTTTCACTCTGCAGGCCTCTCTGCTTTGGAGCTGTACAAAGATATGCACTGACCACACCCATGTGGCCACATCTCTGACTCATAGTACAGGATGCCTGGTCACTGCATAGCCAGACCCAGCCCTATTGCATTGCTCAACCTGCAGGTCCTACTGTCTGACATGCTGCGTATTTGGCTTACACTTTATTTCAGAAATCTTTTTCTCTTCTCCGAAAAAATAACTTGCAACTGTGTATTACTAGAAAAACAGATTAAAACATAATTTAATTCCAAAATGTTTTAACAAACTGTTTTATTGTGGTAGTATCTGAATACAATAAAGTCGGTGCTGATAGAGCATTAGTAATGCATTACTGTAGAATCACATGCCATTTTTGCTTCTTTATCATGATTATATCTTGCTACTTTGTTCTGCTGTAGTTTTCCACGGATTGTGTCATGCTTCGCCAAATCTTTCTATGCTTTGCTATCCTTTTACTTTTAATTTATAAAGCCTTACTACATTTGAGTGTGATTTACTGTGTATATCACAATAGGATCTTAGACAATGATTGAATAATCTTTTAAATAATAAATTTAATTCATAATAATTAATGTGTAAAATATGTTATCATCACATCTTTCTAAATGGGGTTTTGCTAATTCTAAGTATTCACAATGAAAATGGGAACTGGCAGAAAAGCTGGTGCAGCACTATACTTACAGCTATATAGTCATATGCACAAGTTCCATGTTGCTCAATATCAAGGTCAGTGAAGTTTAGGATGATTCGATGATGTCGATCCACACTGATCACCCAGGAGCAGTCTACGTTGTCAGGGTAATTATTGGGGTATCTGGGAGAATGAATCTCACCAGTGGGTGCTGTAAATAAACCTCCGCATCCTGATGAAAAACAAGTAGAATCATACTTGGCACTTATCATAAATCTCAAGCTGAATTATTTCATAAAGCAACACTAGATCGGGAAAATTGGCATCCTTCCAGTGAGAGAGGAGAAGGAACCAAACTGACTGGGAGACTGATTGGCTTAAAAAAGCAGAATTGTCACCTCGTGCTGATCAGGTCTTCTGGTCATTAGTACAAAATAGGGCATAAACCTGTCTTAGGTCTTTGTTTATTACATAAAGGTTACAGCAGTTAAATAGCAATGGAATTCAAAGCTAAGGAGCAAAATGTTGGAAAACCAATCATTCTGTCAGTTGATCAGTCAGTTAGTTTGCAGTGGTCCTGACCTCGTTTCTTATTCCTACTCACCTCCCTGAACTTCCTGCCAGCTTGCATTGAACCCCTTGCCACTGACATACAAGTCAGATTTAAAGAGGACAGTGACAAAGTTCCCAGTGGTGGAGACATGTAGAGGCTGACCCGGAGGGCGTGTGGTACATAGCCGGGCCAGTCTGGGGGACAACAGGTCAGGACCTCCGTACACCTTCACATAGGGACAAAGCATTACAAAATTCAATATTTCCCCACATTTACAAACAGTCAAAACATTTTGCCTCTACACACCTTCTGTCCAAAGAATAAGCCAGTACTTGAGCCTACAGGCTCATTAAGACAGAGCTTATCACAATTTCTGAAGCAATCCCCCGGATGGAACAGTGAATGTGAAATAAGTAACACAGAGACAACATAATGCATAACATCAGCTCCATGCACCTTCAGATGGAGTGTAAGAGTAAATTATTTTGCATTTTTCTTCCTCTATTTTGGAATAGGCTGCTGTCATCCTCCATATTTCGTAGCAGGCAGACAAAGTTTTAAAAAAAAAGTCTGTGTATCTAATTAACGACTAAACAAAGATGTGTTTTGTAAAATGTCTCTCTGTACGTCTGTTCTTTAAAAAAATCAATAAACTAAATGTTCAAATTCAAAAAAGCAAAATCATCACATTTAAAAAGTACTAAAATAATCAAAGGTTTCTCAGAAAAAAAAACAACACTAGCAGTGAATTTGATTTCACGATTCCATGATATTATAATATATTTGTTTTAAATATTAATATATCAGAGACAGGTTTAAAAATATTATTGGTCAGACAATTATTTCTTAAATTACTTTAAGTGAGACAACATCTTCTTCTTAGGAGTTGTAACATAGCGTTCATGGACATGGATAATTTGTCAAGCTGCCTCTACACATTTGTTTATTCTGGGATCATAGATATTAGAAACTTTAACTTCCAAATTAGTAACTTTGCCTCAGAACCTTAGATCTCTGTCACATATTCTTAAAAAGTTCCAGGAAAATTCAGTGAGATTTTCAGTTAACAGTGAGAAAGAAGAGGGACTTTACTTTTCTAACAGAACCAGAAATCATTTTCAAAGGAAACAGTTAGAGGTTAACACAAATCTCTGTTTTATAATCATAGAGGAAAATATAGACACCATCTGAAACTGGAGAGCTGACATATGTTCCCCATTTCTGAAGATGAATTGAATGAAAAGCTCTGTTTATAGCATGCAGTATAATGGCTTGTCTGAAAAACACAGCCTTCTGCTTGTGTGTGTAACAGACCCAGTACAGTTTCCATGGCAAAAGCGACAATAATGAAGCTTTCTGGCACACAGTGAAGAAACTAATGATTAACACATGATTGCAGATGTGAATCTAGTGGAAAGAATGGGTGTGGTACAATGATTTTTTTTTAATACCACTGCAAAACTGCATTTAGAAAAAAGGCAATGAGTTTTTTACATTCATTTCCAAACATAAATGGGTTATATAATGAACTGGTCTCTTCCTCTTGGTACACCATCCACAAAGCGAGCTTTTTAATCTTTGTTTTTCAGAACTCTTCTGCTCAGTTGGTTCTATTGATTTTTACAGTGGAAGTCAGCATTCCAAAGCTGTGAGCAACAAAATTCCAGTTCAACAGTGGCCACTGATCACTATGCACAGTCAATATGGGGAAGCTTTAATATAGTTGGTAGCCAAACTCCAACAGACACTGATTCTACTCAGCATCTTTTATTCTTCATTTGACCTCAACACCCAAGGAAAATGAAGAATGGCACATAAATATTAATGTTTCTTTGAAACACTTTCAACAAAAGATTTTATATAAGATTATTTTAGTTTTATTATTATTTTCAGCTGTGTGGGTCTTTTGGAAGACAAAGTAGTCTTTAAATCACATCAACATTTCGAACTGTTACCAGGCACATTTACCTACTTATTTGTTATTTTATTTTATAATGTAATAATGTGTGTTGAATATTAGAGGGGGGGTAATGATTGAAATACAGTATTGAAATACAGTATAATGGGAATTTCATGTTTACTCAAGCATTCTGTTTCTGAGATAAGCACCCCACACACATCTGATACATTTGGGGTCTTGGACCTATCCTATGCATGGCATAGGTTATGGGATCAGTATCTATTATTATTATTAATGTGAACTAGAATGATTAGATCAATGTGATATATTATGTAATTTCAACTAAAAACCCTTCTGATATGCAGAAGGAAAGGTACAAACAAATATGTGGACTGAGGTGCAGAAAGGACTTGAGTAACAAGGACTGGTGAAGGGGTATGTTACTTAAACCATGCATCATTGAGCAGGCAATGACAAAAGATTATTTTTCTGGAAACAGCTGCATCCGCAGATATTTAGAGATTAAACAAAGTTATGTTGTAAACGTACAACTTCTCCAGCTGAAAAGTTGCTTAATCATCTTCTGCCTGCATTGCAATACCATACAAACAATCGGCAACCAAATTAAATAACAAGTAAGGATTAAATAAATAAAACAGAAAGCACAGGACATATTAGAACATCTCACGGTGAAAACAAATGTTTTGTACTTGAAATAACACAGATTACATAAGGAGTTTGTGGTTTATTCCTGAGTCACTTTAGACACAGATGGTAGATACAGATACAAGGACTTGAGCCCTTGTTATTGCTATCAATAGGGGTTATCACACAGGAGAGTACAAGAAGATCACATTCACAGGGCTCAGCCTAAGAGTTCCTTTTCATTAGAATCCCCAGCTATCACTGATAGTACAGTAATGATGCCTCTGTGGAACTTGAACACTGATTACTTCTAATTAATGTTTTTCAGGCCCCAGGGCTGGGTTGGTGGTACCTGTTTAAGGCAACCAAACTCTGTATATCATCTGCAGACA